TTATTTATTTAAGATTTGTTTATTATATATGCAATGTTCTGCCTGAATGAATGCTTATGAGCCAGAAGAGGGCACCAAATCTCATTACATATGGTTGTGAGCCTCCATGTGGTTCCTGAGAATTGAACTCAGGACCTCTGGAAGAATAGCCAGTGGTTTTCTTGTTTGTTTGTTTGGTTTTGGTTTTTAGAGACAGAGTTTCTCTGTGTAAGACAACCCTGGCTGTCCTGGAAATCACTTTGTAGACCAGGCTGGCCTTGAACTCACTGAGATCCACCTGCCTCTGCCTCCCTGCTTCTTATAAAGAGGTTCAGTTTCCTAATCTGTGAGGTGCAGCCCCGTGTAGAGCTGGGTGGCTGAATGTTCAGGTAGCTAAAAAATGGTAATAGTAAAAAACTTCTAAAGCGTACAGTGAGCAAATACTCATTCAGAATCAAACCAGAGTGGCCATGAGGTGTCCCTGGCAGCCCTTGCTGGTGGTGTTGCCTGGGCAGCCTCACTGCATCCTTGGTTTTGAAACACAACATAGCGGTTTCCGCTGTGCATGTCTCTGTACAGCTTTAACCAGCGCTCCCTGGGACACCTCTCAGATTGCACGGTTTGCTGCACATAAGTTCTCTTCTCTCACAGACATTCTGTTTAATTATCGAAGGCAGAGACCTTGGTCATCCTTCCCGCTGCCACCTCAGCATGTATGTGTCAGATAGTCTATCTTTGGGTTGTGTTATGGTAAAATATTTGATTTAAAAAATGTTGACTTGAGTTTGTTAGACAAACTAAAATGTTCGAATGAGTTTTGCATTGAGATTGGTACAGAATTGAGACAGTTTCTGAAATGACTTTATAAACATATCTATGACATTTTGTACTATATGTTTATATAAAAGTTGTATGTGTTCTCAAGCACTGATGATTGTAAAGTCAAAATGTTGAATTCTGAAAAAAATCTTGAAGATGCTTTGTGTCCTGAATTATCAGATATTTGCCCCGAAATTCATTCTTTGTGTGAAAACAAACAGCACGTCCATCTAACTGGCCACTTCGGTTTAGCCTTTAGTGGTAAAGTTCACATGTATGCCAAAGAAGTGCTTAAAAATAATTTTCCTCGTGATTTGCATGCCTATTTCATACACCCATGTTTTACCTAGGTTAATATAAAAAATTTCATGGGCAAAGTGGTCTTCGGCAAAAAACAAAACAAACAAAAAAAAACAAACACACAAAAAAAACAACTTTAAGAAGGCCTTCAGTGAAGTATGTTGAAAATATTCCTTAGGGCAAATTTGAAATCAGGTAAATATAGAGGTAAATCCCCTCTGATGAAATTACTTAACTAGAAAGATAAGAATGTTAAAGTTCCTGGCTCATAACCGTAGATGAGCATCCATCTGGCTAACGTGCCTGTGTGTGACTTCTCTCTGGGTCAGCTCTGCCCACTGTGCCTCCTGGGTTTGCATGGGACCTGCTCTCTGACTGCACTGAGTTCGCTGTAGTCAGACTTTTATTGCTGTGATTAATACCATAGCCAGAAGCAACTTGGGAAGGAAAGGGTTTATTTTAGCTGAAAACCCTCAGTTCAAATTTTATCACTAAGAGAAGTCAGGGGAGGAACCTGAAGCCAGAGACCATGGAGGAACTCTGCTTATTGGCTTGTTGTTATGACTTACGCAGCCTGCTTTCTTATACAACTGAGGACCATCTGCCTAGGGATGGCATCACCCACACCGAGGTGGGCCTTCTGCATCAGTCTACCTCAGGCCAGTATGATGAAGGCAACTCCTCAGTGGAGATTCTCTTTTTTTAACATCCATTTCTGAAAACTCTTGAGTAGAGGGAGTTTGCTAACACCCTCACCCTTGGCTATGGTCATACTCAGAGATCAGGTTCTCTTTGGGCAGACTCCAATATCTCTTGTATAAGATTGTTATTCTTGGGATTAGTACCACTCAACTGGTACTTCATAGCCAGGAACTTGATGGGAGGGGACTGCGTGGTAACCAGCTCCCTAGCTCCCTACAATAATAGTCTTACTAGGCTGACTCCCTCCCTCTCTCTCTCTCTCTCTCTCTGTATGTGTGTGTGTGCACGCACGCATGTGTGTTGGTAATGAAGCCATGGGCCTTTTGCTGCTAAGCAGCACAGCACTAGGCTACACCTTTACCTGAAACAAAGCTCTTGTTTGTTTTTGAGATGGGTTTTGTGTCTCCCAGGCTGGCCTCGAACTTCTGTAGCTAAAGATGACCTTGAATTCCTGTTTCCCCTGATTCCACTTTTCTGGTTTTTTCTTTTCTTTTGGTTTTTCAAGACAGGGTTTCTCAGTAGCTTTCGAGACTGTCCTGGAACTCACTTTGTAGACCAGGCTGGCCTCGAATTCACTAGGGATTCGCCTGCCACTGCTTCCCAAGTGCTTTAGACGCGCGCCATCACCGCCCAGCCAATTCTACTTTTCAAGAGCTGAGATTACAGCTGTGGGGTACCATGTGGTTTTATGTGGTGCTAGGGATCAAATTCGGGCTTTGTACCTAGACAGTGTATCACTGAACCGCATCTCCAGCTGAAACTAGAATATGAACTGGAATTTTTCACATAGTCAGAGAGCGTGTAAGACATGCGGGGCAGACTCGCCCCCCCCCCCCCAGTGAAGTTTCAGGGTTCCTCGCTTTAAAGGATTTCTCTCTCTGGGTCAGTCAGTGGGCGTATACAGGAGTCACACAAGGCTGAAAGGATTTTATCTTTAATTTAAAAAATAGTGTGCGCGCGCACGTGTGTGCACATGACCTGTGGGAGGTCAGAGGATAACTTTGTAGGCCTTTCCACCATTATGGGGGTTTTGGGCATTAAACTCGGGTCATTGGGTTTGAATCTTTGAGGGGTAAGCACCTTTACCTGCTAAGCTTCTTAACACCTATTTATTGAGACCTCTCAATTTAGGTTGGTCTTGAGTTTTCTTTAGGTGAGACTGACCTTGAACTCTTGATTTTTCCTTCTACCTCCGTCTTCTAAATGAGAGGAGCCCAACTCCAGCAGACTAAACTCGCTGTGCTTCTTTACAGTTTATTGCGGAGCCTTTTCTGCAGGCCTGTCTGGTCCAAGCGGTGGTGCTCAGCTTTGTGGGTCGCACAGCGCCCCCTCGTGGTAGTGGGGGTGGCGGGCGACGGGTGGAAGGCGGGGGAGGCGGTGGTGGGCGGGAATCCCGAGCCTGTGGCGGAGGCTGTCGGCCTGGCTCCAAATCCTTCATCACGCGTGCCTGGATTGTGCGAGATGGCGGGTTTTGAACTGCTCCTGTGTACCTTGAGCTAACTGAATCGCGCATTTTGCAAGACAACTGGCCACATTCTCCTGTTTGTCTGGTCGCCACCTTTACTGGACAGCTGGCCCTAATTGCGTATGCTTGAGGGCCAGGTCTCTCTTTTTGCAGGGCATTTGACCCTTAGTCGCGCGTTCCCGTGGGCTGGGCCCTTTTGCAGGACACTGGCCCCAGGCCACCCCGGGGACGTCCCAGAGTTTGGACTTCCGGGGTTGGCTCCAAGTCTGCTGCTTGTCACCCGCCAGGGCGTCGCCGTGCCACTGCCTGGGCGAGGCCCTTTAAACTTCACTGTTTTTTAAACTTCGGGGGTGTGGTCGCCCTTGCATTCTTCTTCCCGTGGCCGGGCCGGTCATCCCCGGACCCGCCAGGTCCTTCTCTTGTCCTGCCTTCCAGATGCTTTGGAGTCATGAGCCGGGAGGGCCCGGGGACCCCTTGGGTGGCCGAGGTGATCCGAGGTGAGTGCTCAGGGCAGGGTAGGGCTCGGGCTGGCTGGAGGAGCGATCTGCTGCCCCAGAATCCCAACTGGCCTCCCCTCCAGGGCTAGTGGCTTTGGGGCTAACCGACACCTTAGTGTGCTTATGACCTCTGTGCCCTACACCCTCTCCACCCACTCTTGGAAGCTACTGAAATCCCAGGCACTGAGCGCCGCGGATCAAAGGTCATTTGTGGTTGGAAAGGACTAAGCCCTGTCACTCCTTTGAATGCAGTTGCTGGGAGTTTGTAGTTGCGTTTACTAGGACATATGTGCAGCGGCTGTAAGAGTGGAGGTGCAATTGGAAAAGAAAACTTTAAATTGCAGTTTGGGGAGAAGCATGTACCAGCTTGTGTTGTTTCTTACCCCTAATAAGGTGGTTGAAAATAGTATATATATTTCAAAGGCTGTCCTTGATTTTTGCCATGTTTTGAGTGTATGCATCTAATTACTGTTAGATAGTGCCCTTTTCTGGGGGTTGGGGGTAAGGGTGGAGCCTTTGGGTTTTACTGCCCTTCTTGCTGAACTCCACAGCATTCTGCATTCATGCAACAGATGCCATCCCAGTCTGACCTCCCACTGCTTCGGTTTTAACAGTAACTGTAAGAAACTCAAAGCCACGATTCCAAAATTTAAAAAAAAAAAAAACAAAACACATCTGTGCAAAGAATTGGGTAAACGCACCTTGTGTTGTATTGGTAACATCAGCAATATTGAGAAGCTCTTTGTTTCTACTTTTAAAAGGGTTGTTTCCTGCCGCCTGTCTTTTTAGGATGTCCTCATAAACCTGATGCTTGGCTGCAGGCTAGCCTTCAAATGCATGTTGTATTTCCCAAGATTCCTTAGTCTAGTTACTTCAGAAGGCAAAACAGTATCCCTGCAACCAATGTAGCAACTGACAAATTAAGGCATTCCTTCTTTAAAAAACGTTTGCATATTTATTGTTATTCACCAAAAGAGACTGTTTAGAAATTTTACATTGTCACCTTTTCCATCACCACGGAGTGGGGGTGGGTTCACACTAACTAGAAAATTAAACCTTGTTATCTTTCCCATCTGAAATGTGGGGTGGGCATGGACACACAAAATCAATTTAGAAAAAAAACAACTTCCATCTTTTAATTCATCAGAAAAGAATTGGGTCTTGACTTTAAGAGCACGAAGGAAGGAACATTGCAATTTTTCCGTTTCAGATCGCCTTTGTTTTGCCATTCTCTACAGCAGACCAAAGAGTGCGTCAAACGAGCATTATTTCAGCATAGATAATGAACTTGAGTATGAGAAGTAAGTATTGCCCCTTGAAAGACGGAAACTTTCAAACTGTGTTCTAAGGAATCTCCTCATGTGAGCACAGAGGACAGAGCCTCGGAGACTCCTATATCTGATGCTCACTTACAGTTGGGTGCTGTTTCAAATCTCGGTAATAAAATAGATCTTTGAGAACTTCCATTTATACACTGAGATTTGATACTGCCGTAGTTTGCAGCGTAGAGCTGTGTGAAATACGAATATGTAAGTTACTAGGTTAGCTAATGGAAAATGTGTGCAAGAACAGTTTTCATAATTGAGGTTAGAGTTAGTCAGCACCTCTGGGGTGTGTGTTGGGGAGGGGCTGCAAGGCCTGGTGCATGCTAGCTGAGCTCTCTCCACCAATGAGGTGCAGCTCTACCCCACACATCGCCTATTTAAACAGGTGTTGGTTACCAGAATGTTCCTTCTGTTAGCGTTAGTAGGACAGGGCCTTAGAGTTGATTTGGGTTGGTGGATGCCCTCTTGCCGTAGCCTGTTTTTAGTAGCTTGTTTTTACATTCACAACAGCTAATTCATACTTGTTTCTGTTCATTTTTTTAAAGCTTCTACGCGGATTTTGGACCGCTCAATCTGGCAATGGTTTACAGATATTGTTGCAAGATAAATAAGAAGCTCAAGGTAAATCTTTTAAGTCAGGGTTGACTGACTCAGCAGCATTTTAGAGTAACGCAGAGGAGACTCGGCTCCTTTTTAAAAAGTGTTTAAAAAATTCAAAATTTGAAGGAATGCTTCCTCTTGCAAAACCAAAACAGTTTCAGACCAGGTGTGCTGGTGCACTTGCTGGACATCTGCGCGTTCGGGTGGGGGATCCCGAGTTCAAGGCAAGCCTGTGCTAGACAGAAAGATCTTATCTTTAAAAAACAAAGGGCTTACCAAGAAACGAGTTTTCTACTGAAGTGTGTCTTGAGGACGTACTAAACGTTTTAGCAGTGTGGTAGAATGCACCTTGTAATCTCATGCTCTGGGGGATTGCTGTGAGTTCACTGGTATACAGTATGAGACTAAATAGCCTGGCCTGCCTTGTGAAGGTCTATCTCATAAAAAGGTCTCGTGTCTCACTGGAGTAGTATTTAGAGTACATACTTTATTTTTATTAAGTGATAATAATAAAATGATTTTTTTCTAAAGAACTACTGCATGCATTGTTTTTCCTAGAGTTTTTCCTGGGTTTTGAGACATACTTATGTGTAACCCAGACTGGTCTAGCAGTGTCTGCATCCCCTCGTGGATGCTAACACACGTAACTCCGTTCCTAGAGTAGGTTATGCTTGGGTTATTTGATTCTGGTTTGTGTTTAGGATCCTCAGTGAAAGGCAGTTAGTTAACTAGGTCCCTTTTTGTCTGACCTAATGGGAGCTGAAGCTAGGACAAGAGAAGAATTTCCTTTGCTTTGGCCATCATTCTTCCCACCTTCCCCCCAAAGTGAAACTGATGCATGTCCGGGAAAGCAGACCCTGGTTTCTCTCTCTGAGCTGGAAACTCGTGGACTGTTGCATGGGTTGCTCCTCAACTTGGATCCTTTACACATCTAACCGGGAAGATCACTGACCTGTCCTCCGCTGCCTCCCTGAGAGCATACAGTGTGAACACAAACCCCATTCCTTCATTTAAAAACTTCGAATTACTGATCAGACACTTCAGGAGTACCTAGCTGGGCTTGATGGTGCACGCTTTAATCTCAGCACTTGGGAGGCAGAGGCAGGTTGATCTCTGTGAGTTTGTGACCATAATAATTGACATAGTGAGTTTCAGGACTACATAGTGAGGCTGTGTCTCAAATTTTAAAAAAGTAACTAGTCATTATAAACTGTCAAGTAGAAAATACTGAATTTGTTAGCAGTAATTAAAAACAAAAACTTATCAATGGGTTGCCTACCATAGAACAATGCAAAACTAAAAACATTTATTTTTCCTTAATATCGTTACAAGTTTGAGCAAAGGAGACATTTCTCCTCCCGAGCATCAACTGTATTCACTACACATTCAGACACAAGAGTAGATTTCTTCCCAGGCTCTCTTAAATAGCAAAGTAAACATCTGTGGCCTTCTTTCTTTGGGTCCCTCTCCCCTTTTCCACTTGTCACAGGCAGTCTTTTGTTCCCACAGGACCGAGAGGCTAAATATAATCCCCTCTCCTCCCAACTATTGTCATTGGCTTTAGTTTTGAAAGAGTAAGTCTGTGCGTGTGTGCACCTGTGCACACACCTTCATGCCTAGCCTGTTGGAGACTTATTGTGTCCACCAGAAATGAGTGCATTCCTTTCTAATGACTTGCTAGAAGCCCTGAAAAGTTGAGCACCAGCCTGTCTGAAAACTCGCTGGCCGTTTAGCTGGTGTGATTCAGAGAGTCCTAGATGAGTCGGGTGTCTGTGCTGCCAACGACTGACTGGGTTTTGATTTAGGTTCCTTAGTTGATGTAAATCACTAGGGGAGAAAATAGCACACATGAACGGCAGAGGCCCTGGAACATGCAGACGGGCAGGGCTTTCCAGCTGAGCTAAGCCCACTCTCTGTTCTAGCCTTGGTACATCTCACGTTTGTGAAGTGCCCCTGGGGACGTGCTGGGCGATGATGACTTCCTTTTCTTTTTAACTTTCTATCGAAGTATAACATGCATAGAGAAACATACACAGATCCCCAGTGTACACTTAGTTTTCATAAATTAAGAAGAGGCCTTTCAGCTGCTGGCTCATGAATTGTCTTTGTTCTGCATATCCTTTTAATTTACTGGCTTTAAGACTAGAGATTAATTTTTTTCAAAAAAATTTTTTTTTTTTTTTTACTTTATGAGTATTTTTCGTGTGTGTGTATGCAGTGCCCTTGGATTTCAGAGGAGTACATTGGATCTCCTGGGACTGGAATTAACAGACAGACATGAGCTGCCATGTGGGTGCTGGGATCCAACCCAGGTCTTTTTCAAAAGCAGCAAGACAGGCGGATCCCTGTGAGCTAGAGGTCAGCCTGGTCTACAGAGCGAGTTCCAGGACAGGCCCCAAAGTTACAGTGAAACCCTGTCTCGAAAAACCAAAAATCAAACCAAAACAAACAACAACAAAAAAGAGTTCTTGGCTTTATCCCCAGCTTTCTGAAGTGACCGGGAGGTTGACCTGTCTGTAGGCAGTTCCCTTTCTCTCTTAAGTCATTCTAATGTCACCGCAGGTCTCAGGGGAAGGCACCTGAGATTTCAGGGCATCGGGGTTCTTCTGGGAGTTCTGATATCTAGATTACTTCTGCGTGTGAGATGTAGAATTTGTGTGAGAGTCGAATTTAGGAAGCTTGAAGAGGTGAAGAGAAGACTAACGGCAGTTTGTTTTGGTGCAGTCCATTACGATGCTGAGGAAGAGAATTATCCACTTCACTGGCACCGACCAGAGAAAACAAGCGAATGCCGCCTTCCTTGTTGGGTGTTATATGGTAAGTGTTAGCGGCCCGAAGGTCGGCCAGTGTGCGCAGCTGTGCTGCGTTTCAGTCGGGGTGGGTATTTTGAAACTACTCTTTGCTAAGGTACTGTCTTGGTTTGTTTCCAGAGGGGATGTGTTTGTTTGCTTTTTGAAAACCGCTCACTCAGGGAGACTTTGCTCATGCTGCTGGGGACTACATGAGTTTTTTGTCTACCAGTTTTACTGTGAACTTAGAATGTAAAAACAAAATTTTATTAAAGATTTTTTTTGACTGATTACTATGAAAAAGTTGGTATCTTTTAGCTTTTAAGGTTAGTAAATAATGTTCCATAGCTGCTTTTATTAATCCATGATCCATTTAGAGATTTGTAAAGTCATTTTATTGGGGTCAGTTCCAATGTAGACTTTGTGTGTGTGTGTGTGTTAGACGATGGCTTTCAGGACTGTTTTTCTCTTTCTACCTTGTGGGTTTCAGGTTGTCAAGCTTGGTAGCAATCACCCTTACATGCTGAGCCATCTCTCCAGATACCTCTGCCTCTTTTAAAGACTTATTTATTTGTGTGGAAATTTCTCTGTGAATATATGAGCTTGTGTGTGTAGCTTCGTGCACACTGAATGCACGTGGAGGTGTGGTGTGTGTTAGATCTGGAGTTAGATCAGGTATTTTGCATACACACACACACACACACTCATTCACACACTCACGCCATGTGTTAACTGATTTGAAATGAGGTCATGACTGTGTAGCAAGAGCTCTTAACCACTGGACTATTGCTCCTACTTTGACAGGTTTATATGCTTGCATGTAGAAGGAGACTGTGCGTTGGTTTCCTGGCTGCCCAGGCCCAAATAATCGTGCAGAAACCATATTAATTACAATACTGTTTGCCAATAGCTTAGGCATATTCCTAGCTAGCTCTTACTTCTTAAATTAACCCATTTCTATTAATTTGTGTATCTCCATGAGGCTGTGGCCTACTGATAAGGTTCGGGGTTTTTCTTCTTTGGCAGCTACATGGTGTCTCTTTGACTGTGCTTAATCTCTCTAAATGTCTTTATTCAGATTTCCTGCCTGGCTTTACTCTGCTAAGCCAATGGCTGAAACAACTTTATCAACCAATAAAAGTAACACCTACAAAGAAGGACATCCCACATCATTTGCATTTGTGATGTTGACCCCCAGGCCCTTTTCTCAGGCTAGGTATCTCTTTTTCACTGGGCTGGATTCCCAACACAAGTCTTATACCACCCCATACTCATTTATAATTTTCTGTCATACAGTTTGGTAATCTGGTTTACAAAAATTGAGTCAAAAAACTTGGTGGAGTTAGTTGAAGGTGCACCTCAAAATTTGATTTTTTGTTTGTTTGTTTATTTTAGAGACTGGATTTCTTTGTAGCTTTAGAGCCTGTCCTGGAACTAGCTCTTGTAGACCAGGCTGGCCTCAAACTCACAAAGCTAGAAATACGCCTAAGCTATTGGCCAAACAGTATTGCAAATAATATAGTTTCTTTCTTTCTTTCTTTTTTTTTTTTAAATATTTATTTATTTATTATGTATACAATATTCTGTCTGTGTGTATGCCTGCAGGCCAGAAGAGGGCACCAGACCCCATTACAGATGGTTGTGAGCCACCATGTGGTTGCTGGGAATTGAACTCAGGACCTTTGGAAGAGCAGGCAGTGCTCTTAACCTCTGAGCCATCTCTCCAGCCCCAAATAATATAGTTTCTGAGTAATTATTTCGGCTCTGGGCAGCTGGGTATGAATGAACAGTCACCGCCAACAACTCATGCACATCAATTCTATGTATGTATGTATGTATGTATATATTTATATATTCAATCATTCATTCATTTTGGTTTTTTGAGACAGGGTTTCTCTGTGTAGCTTTGGGGCCTGTCCTGGAACTAGCTTTTGTGGGTAGACCAGGCTGGTCTTAAACTCACAGAGATCCTCCCGCCTTTGCCTCCCGAGTGCTGGGATTAAAGGTGTGTGCCACCACCGTCTGACTTTTTAAAAATTTTATTTATATACATTGGTGTTTTGCCTACATGTATGTCTGGGTAAGGGTGTTGGGTCCTCTGGAACTGGAGTTACAGACAGCTGTAAGCTGTCTATGTGGGTGTTAGGAATTGAATTTGGGGCTTCTGGTAGAGCAGTCAGTACTCTTAACCGCTGAGTCTTCTCTCCAGCCCCACACATGACTTCTTAACCAGGGTTGCCCCTCGATCGATTTCTTGTCCATTGTCAGATAAAGCACTGGTGGCCATGTTGTATGGAGCCAGCTGCTGTAATTTTAGAGTGGAAAATTTCTCAGAAAATGATTGAGGATATGGTGGAATCTTAGGGTTAAAACCAGAAAGTACTGGATAATTTTATAAACATGAAGTTGTTCTTGCTGTAGTGTTTTTGTTGTTGTTGTTGTTTTGTTTGATTTGGTTTGGTTTTAGTTTTTTGAGAGAATTTCTCTGTGTAGCCCTGGCTGTCTTGAAACTCTTTTTGTAGACCAGGCTGACCTTGAACTCAGATTCTCTCCTGTCCACGCCTGGTATTAAAAGTGTAAACCACCACACCCAGCTCATTCTTGCTGTTTTTATTCGTTGGTTCTTTGGATTAACTTGGGGCCGTCAGTATCTAAGGTGTTCTACCATAAAGCTGTGTACCTAGCCCAAGGCTGGTGTTTTTCAACAGTGAAAAAGATAACTTCTTGTATATATGGACAGTGTCTTGACACTTGACTTAGCTAGCGGTTGTGTTTGGGCACACTGAGGCTTAGTTTATTTTTGTTTTCATAGTTAATATATCTGGATTTAGAATTCTGCTGAGAGGTTTACCCTTGCACGTCAATGCCGATTCCATGGTAAAGAATTTGCCGGGAAAGCTGGACAGATTTGATTATTCACCAAGGAGTTTCTTTCTCTGCTCACATAGAAGCCAGTTCCTGGGAGGGATTAGTGAATGGCCATGACAGGTGCCTTTGAGGCCATAGTGGGTGGTCAAATGGGGGAGCTTGGTGGGGAAACAGGAGAAAGATTTCCAAGAAAAGAAAGTTATTCATAGTTGGAAAGAGTGTTGGCACGTGATAAGGACACTTCAGAAGATAAAACACCTAAGTCATCAAGGCCTCTTTTGCTTAAAGTCAATTTAGTTCTCTGGTTAAAGTATTGTAGAGTTGAGCGCTAACCCCTATGAATTGAAGTTTTGATAACTTCTTCTAGAGTTGTTGAAATTTGGAGGTAGGAAAGCTTGAGCATTAATGTTGAAACAAAACCAAAAATGTGGGTAGAATTTTCCAGCTCAGTGGTAGATTGAACACTTGGCCTAGCATGCAAGGGGCCCTGAGCTCCACCCCCAGTACTACAGGGGAAAAAAATCAACAACTAACAAAAAGAAACAGAACAAAGAAAAACTGGGAAAATGGAGCAGTGGATAAAACTGCTTACTGTGTGAGTGTGAGGATCTTCAGTACCCTTGTGAAAAAACCGAGCAGAGCTGCATGAGCCTGTAGTGTGCCGATAGGCAGCCCTAACTCTGAGGAGACAAATGAGCTTTCAGTTTAGTGAGAGACGTTGTCTCAAGGGAATAAGTTAGCAACACAGGAGGACACGTGATGTCTTCCTCTGGCCGCTGAATATATGTGCACATGTGTGTACCCACACTCTCATGTGGATAATGCACACATTTGTACACATAGGCATGTACAGAGGCACTTACATATGCATACATAAACACATGCTTGCACATGCACACACATGCATACATACACACACATATATATATACACATATCTATTTAATTGCTGGTTGTGCAAATAAAATATTTTTTAGGCCAGACAGTGTTGGTACACTCCATTAATCTCAGCATTTGGGAGACAGAGGAAGGTAGATCTCTCAAGTTTAAGGCCAGCCAGGGCTACACAAAGAAACCCTGTCTAAAAAATCAAAACAAACAAACAAACAAACAAAAAAAATATATATGTTACAAAACAATTTTATTAACAGTTTTAAAGTTATTAAACAAGGGTTAGTGGGTTTTTAACGTATTTGCTCAACATTTTACAAAATGCCTGTCAATTTCCAATTTTTTTAATAAAAGATTTATGTATGTATATAGATTTTTTTCCTGCAGGTATGTTTGTGCTCCATGTATTTGTCTGGGACCTTCAGAGGTCAGAAGAGGGTGTCGGACCTCCTGGAACTGGAGTTGGTTGTGACCTGACTAATGTGGGTGCTGGAACCTGAATTCGGGTCCTTTGGAAGAGCAACAAGCTTTCTTAACCACTGAGTCACCTTCTCAGCCTCTGAGCTTCCCTTTACCTGCCCCCCCCCCACACTTAATTTAGGATTGAACGTAGGACTTAATGCCTGCTGGTTAAGTGCTCCACTGAGCTACATTTATCTTAATTTGTGTGTGTATGTGCTTGTGCACACCATGGAACACATTTGGAGGTCAGAGAACAACATCTAAAAGTCAATTCTCTTCCACTGTGTGGGGCCCAGGGATCAAGCTGAGACTGTCAGCCTTGGTGACAAACTCCTCCACCCACTGATCTGTCTTGCTGCCTTGAAATCTGCTTTTTAAATTAAAAACAGTTGCTGTTCTGTCTTACTGGTTCTTACCTTCTAGGTTACACATACTTCTGAGGGCAAGGCTTTTTTGTTTGTTGACTTTTCAATACAGGGTTTCATTGTGTCTGTAACTCAGACTGTTCTGGATCTAGCTGTGTAGACAAGGCTGGCCTTGAACTCACAGAGATCCACTTGCCACTGCCTCCCAGGTACTGGGATTAAAGGCCTGGGCCACCACCTCCCAGCTGACTGGAACATTTTCCTCTATAAATAAATAAATAGAATTAATTCAAAGTCTCCTAGTGTAGACTCCATGACACAGCAGACTCCTTACCGTATAGCTTGCAAGTTTGCTTTCCTCCGTGGTTAATAAATTATTCTGGAAGAACTAATTCTGGTAACTTGTAGGTTCCCTAGTAAATATTTGTCACTATATGTTTTTT